GCCCTTTTTATTTTTTATTTTGATGCAGGGTTTTGCCATCCTGCTAAGTTGCCTGGGCTGGACTTGATGTTTGATCTTCCTGCTTCAGTTTCCCAGGATGCTGGAATTACAGGCATGTGCCACTATACCAGTTCTTCTTCTCAGATTTGAATTAATGTTGCTTTAACCCTGAGCCCTCAATTCCAGATCTCTTAGTTTCACTGCATGTATCTTATGGGTAAAATTTTAGCCTCCCCAAAAGAGACTCAGTTTCTGGAACTATACCCCAGAATGGCATCCAAGATCCTCCTGCCTAGAAGTGGAATTGGAATATGTGCCACAGCTTTGCTGTTACAATTCCTGACTGTAATGCACAAGTCACCTTGAGACCTGACACCTGTTTTGGTGGGTCAGCTGTGACTAAAACAAATACAGAGGATAACCGACCTAGAAGGAGAAAAGATTTACTTCAGCGCCCAGTTTTAGATGTTCCAATTTCTGATCAGCTGGCTTCTCCATTGAGCCTATGGTGAGGCAGCACATCGTGACGGCAACTTATGTGGACTAAAACTGCTCACTTAATGGCCTGGGAGGCAAAAGGGAGAGGGAGAGGGCCTGGGTCTTGCAATGCCCTGCAAGAGCAGACCTCCGAGTACCTGAAGACACCTCTAGGCCCCACCTCTAGAGGTTCCATCACCTCCCAATAGCACCATCTTGGAGACTAAGGCTTAGCACCTGCTCCCTTGGGGCACATTTTAGATCCAAACTCTAGCCCGCTTATTTCCCTGATATCATCCTGCCAAGCCTAAGCTTGCATATCACGTTCTTGTCCTCAGAACTCCTGAGCAGTTTCTGAATCAAGTAATTTTATTCCTATCTTAGTGTCTTTGCACATAGCACACCTTCTTCTCACAACAAGCCCTCGCTTCACTCCCCCGTTCTCCAGCGAGCTCCTTCTGTTAGCTTCAAAGCTGGTTTCCCTTCTTCTAAGAAGTCCCGGCCTAACTTAGATGCTTCTCCTCTAAATGATAGCATTAACCACACCATAGCAACTGCTTTCCTTATCCATCCTTACTAAACCTTTATTCTGTCACAAGCTCATGGCAAGTACTTAAGTTACCATTGAGTAAATCAGTCAAAGGAATCAGAGTAAAGTTACCATTGAGTAAATCAGAGCAAAGGAATGAACCTTGTAGAGAGTAGGTGTGGTATAAATTGTAAACAAACAACAGTACTGTAGTCTAACACAGGAGGTAAGAAGTCGAAAGAGCTGTAGAAAAGTATTTCTATTTGCAGTAACTCCTTTTTAATGGATATGAGCAAAATTCTATTAAGTGCCAACTGTAGCATCAAGATATATTCAAAATCAGTGGTCGGTTGGTCAAATATAGAATCTATCAGCTGATTAACAATTGTTGTATATCTATTACATGTAAAACACTGCTTAATTTTAAAGGATGTCAAAATTTAGTGAGGAAGCATATACTCTGAAAGAAGACAGACTGTGATGACAGTATTAGAGATTCAAAGAGTATTCTGCAGAATTCTGATGAAAAAACCTTAATTCTCGTAAGTATTAATTTGTCAACAATTTATAGGAGGGCACAGGCTAAAAAATCAGGGTAACCTGCTGTCAAAAAAAAATAAGTAATGAGAAAAATATGTGTATGTATACACAGGATAGCTAGGATAATTGTACTAATAATATCTGTGGGTTTATTCAAAGGAATGTTAATGTGTAATTGTTTGATCAATCTTGCATGTCTCTATCTGGTTATATGTGCAAGCATTTTGAAGATGACATTATGTAATATAACAACCATTGTCAATATCCTATCACCATGTTTGGAAATTCTGTATCATTTTTATTGCCCTCCATGCTGTTTTGTTTATGTATTTGTTTTTGTTATTTTGGTTTTTTTCTTTTTAAATTGAAAAACAAAATTTATATATATCTATAAGGATAGCTGGGATAGGTGTATTGCTGATGTCTGTGGTTTATTGAAAGGAACATACTTAAAATTTTCTTGTTTCTTGATCAGTTTTGCATGCTTGAATCTGGTAATCAGAATGACTGATCTGAAAACAACACTATGCAGTATAAGAACCATTGCTGAACTCCTACCATCTTGTAGGACAAAGCTCTGCATCATTTCCAATGGTTTTTTTTTTTTTTATTGCTTGTTACTGTCTTTGATTGTTTGATCAATCTTACATTCTTATGTCTGGTGGACTGAGCAACTTCGTTGAAGATAACAGATGTAATGTAGCAACCACTGTTAATTCCTACCATTTTGGGTTGAGGTCATGTATTGTCATTTTTCTTGTTTTTGTGTTGTTTGGATTTTGTCGTTGTTTTGTCAGTTTTTAAAATTTTTTAAAAGAAAAGAATTAAAGAAAGAAAAAACAAATAATGGACTGAGTAATATCTATTGCTTGTCAACTGCTAAATTGCCCCTGCAATGGCCTTAAACTCTGAGTGACAAGGAAGTGAGAAAGTAGAAGGAAGTGCACAGGACTCAGAGGGGAGGAATTTATTCTTGCTAAAGAAGAAAGAGAAGTGAAACAACAAAAGGATAAAAACTGTTTTAACTTTGAGTGCAGCATTTTCTTGAATCTCTTCAGTTCTAAGATCAAGGAAAGGGAGAGAGAGAGAGAGAGACAGAGAGAGAGAGGTTAACATGGAACCAAAGGAAGATTCAGCATCAAAATAAGGAGAAAACAAAGAGCAAAGCAGCAGAAAAAACTTGCTTACATACAAGTTAAGCTATGGTACTGCTGGATATGAAATGTTGATACTAGGGACATTTTAGTGATGATACAAATAAAAAGGTGGAGCAGCTGGATTGTACCTCAGTAGTAGAGCACTTGCTTAGCATGTACAAGGCCCTGCGTTTGATCCTCACTGTGGGGGGAGGTGAAAAAAGTAAGAAGAATAAAAATACAAGTAAAAGGAGTGGAAGAGGCACGGTTGTAAATCAAATTCTAAGGAAAAAAGTTTATTATGATTCTCATTAGACCTTTACATAAATAGTCCCATTCACTCTATTAATGCACACTAGGGGACTTGGAGATTGAATTGCTCCCCATTTTGGCTTTTTGAGAAAAGGTTTTGTTATACAGTTTAGGCTGGCCTCAAACTCACAGGATCTTCCTGCCTCAGCCTCCTGAGTGCTGAGATCACAGGAGTGTGCCACCATGCCTGGCTGCCACTTCTTTTGATGTCATAGGCTGACATCTATGTAGCTTGTCTGGAAGTCATGAAGTCCTGTGTTTGTTCCTTAGCACCACAAAAAACAAAAGTAAATGAAAATGTGCAGGAAAGTGGCAGACACGTGGAGTACTGAATGAAAAGAACTTTCAACCACTGAGAGGTGAGGTGTTAATACAACCACCCAGAAAGAAAAAAGACTGTTAACATTTATGTAACAGAAGAAGAGAGAGAGAAGGGATGAAGGGAGAGGGAGAGAGGAAAGAAGGAAAGAAGAAAAGGAGAAAGGAAGGAAGGAAGGAAGGAAGGAAGGAAGGAAGAAAGAAAGAAAGAAAGAAAGAAAGAAAGAAAGAAAGAAAGAAAGAAAAGGAAGGAAGGAAGGAAGGAAGGAAGGAAGAAAGAAAGAAAGAAAGAAAGAAAGAAAGAAAGAAAGAAAGAAAGAAAGAAAGAAAGAAAGAAAGAAATGGAAAAAGAAAGAAAGAAAAAGAAAGAAAGAAAGGTAGACTTGGGGGACACGTCAAAGGAATACTATAAGGGATATATATACTATACTATAAGGAATACTATAAGTTTAAGTTAGAAATAATAAACTGTAAAGCTAAAATACAATAACTGGAAATTATAAAAACATTCATGTGTTAATGATTGAAAACTCTATCTGTTCCTGACAATAATATTCACAATTCTTACTGACAAAAATATACTCAATTTAAAGGATTCCCAGTAAAACCATTCAGACATGTTCATTTCTACAAATGAAACTCTGAAGTTCCCCCCAAACTTCACCCCTCAAAATACCCTTCCTCTTTCTGTTAACAAAATCTCTGCTCAAGCTTTGGTGGTCAACTCAGATTGCTTTCTCTCCGACTTGACTTCAACTTGACTTCTCCTTCAGAGTTCCTCTCAGATTTACCACCTCCCTCTACTTGCATCTCACTACCCTGGTCCAAACTTACTTGATGCACTCCCGGACCGGCCCTCTCCTCCGATCACAACCTCCTCTCCTCCTTGCCAATGCATTTTCCCACTTACCCATCTTCTCACTGTTCCCAGACTAATCTCTCTGTAAGGAGTCAGTACAGGCCTCAGCCTTGAGCCCAGCAACTGTCTCTGTAAGGTTCCTGTCCAGTCCTTGTCCACGGCTCACCTGCTCTTGTTCAGGCTGGAGTGTTCGTTATGCTTTGAATCACTCTGCTCGCTCCCATACCCTTACCTCACCGATGATTTTATCTCCAACTCTACAAGTGTCCTCCCATCCATCTCCCTACTCAAAAATCCCACACGTCTTTAAAGCTGCCCTTGTATCCTCCCTCCACCCAGAAGACTTACACAAAGAAGTCTCACCATTTCCACGCTCATGTGGCACTTAGTCTGAGTTTGATGTTGTCTTGGAAGTCATATAGAGCAATCCTTCAAATTCATATCTAAGTTGAAAGACTTGGCCAGTCCTGCAACCACGTAGTAGCAATTTCAAATATTTTAAACTTCAGATGTTTTAAATTTTGTTCCCTCTCAGCTACACCTTTTGGCCTTTTCTTTTCCATCTGTAATATATTTTAATTTGAGATTTCATTCACTGTGTATGTCACATAGCCCTCATTAAATTATGAGCCACTTACGAATTACTCAGCACAGGGTCTGTATTAGGTCACAAACCCTTATTTTTCAGTATCCATCACTGAATTTCAGAGTAAATGGTAAAAAAGGATTTGGATCTCTCCAACGCCTAACCAGTGAATGATTTTATTGAATATATTTGATAACCTCACTTTCTTCAAATCTGGACCAGGGAGCACACATGTAAAGAATTACTTTATGCTTTTTAATACTTTTTGAATATGTGACTTGAATACTCCCACCGCTGTGTCTAGAGTTCACATAACTCTAGCCCTCAGGGGCAGAGAGCTCATCCCTCAGCCAGGGTAAGGATATACATCTCCTGGTGACTTCAAGAACTGCAGTGCAATAAGGAAAGGAAGGGTGGGACTTCCCTTGTTTCTCTAACAACACAGATTTCTGGGAAGACTGCAGTAATGTAAATTTTAGGAAAAAGATCATCACTACTGAAAAAAAAAAGATGGGACCACAAAGTACCTTCACAAGAGGAAACAGAAAGGAAAAAAAGAGGAAGTGGCTGAAGTAAAGAAAGACAAAAGGAAATTTGGCAAACAAGGTCAGTTTTGTTAGTGAGGCCCTTTTATTTAAATAAAAGGTACACAAAATATTTTTACACTGGAAAATTTCTTAGACTGCAGAAAGATAAAGGTGGAATAAATATTTTAAAAAGCATTCTGAGAACAGAATTAACATGTGTCTCCATAAGAGTTGTCTTCCTGGTTTTGCTTCAAAAAATATTAACTTGCTCTGTGCCCAGTCCTTGCTAGACAGTAATGATAATGAAATCAACGATTGGGATCTTTATTTCAAAGAATGGTCAATACAGGTTGGTGCAGGGGCACACACCTGCAATCCAAGCTACTCCAGAGTTTTAGGCAAGAATGAGGCAGAATATCAGGGCATGACAAACATCTGGGGACAATGGGCATGCTCTGTCAATTACAAAGTTCCAGGACACATGCACAGAGCAGCTCCCAAGGCCTTGGCGTGGACCAGCCATAGAGTGGTCTCTTCATTTCTTCTCATGGGAACCCAAGCAGGCTTTTCATAGGACTGCCAAGACCTGACGTCAGCCTGACGAGTGGGAGATACAAAAGAAAACTACCATTTTCCTCACAGCCACTGTGCTGTGTATTTTGCAGTAGTCCATGCTTACCTTGTAGACAATACTGCTTTTCCTTTTAATTGGCCCATACTTGCTCAGTAGAGCATGTTTCTTTCCTTTCTATATCTTGCTAAATGTAAAACCTCACTACCTTTCATGCTCATCTTCACCAATTTTTGTGCAGGACAGAAAAACCTAGAAACCACATCTAGAAAGAAAATCCAGCATTCCACAACCTGGCAACAGGAGGATCTCAAATTTAGGCCAGCCTTGCTTGGAACAAAGAACAAACGAAATTAACAAAAAAGCACTGGCAAAGTCCATTCAAGAAAGTAAAAGGGAAGAATAAGAAAGAAACTGGCTTTGCAGAGCAAGCTTGGGTCAAGTAAATAGAAAAAGAGGGTGAAAGTGAGGACAAAAGTACACGCTGCATCTGGGAAACACAGCATGGGCTAACATAGAAAGTTATGATAGCACTGGCTCTTCATGGCTGCTTCTCTTTTATACTGTCCAAATCTCAAGGAAATCTGGGAGAACTTCTGCATCAGGGTCCTGAGAGGCAGTGTTGGGATCTCACACCTCAGGCTGACCTCAGGTCTAGGCCAAACTATTGAAAACCAGCTCAAGTTCTCTCCAAAAGTCCATGTGCAGGGCTTTGAGACTGATTCTACACATGTGTTCAGGATCTTGTAGTTAACAGGTTATGTCTGCTTCCCCATCAGCTTAGGCCATGCCCTAATCCTCTATCTCACTAATTCCTGGAACCTGTGAATATGCTATGTAACGTGCCAAAAGGGATTTAGCACTGGATGGCCCAAGTGAAAACAGAGGTAGGAAAGGCAGTCATACAGAGGAAATGTTTCAAGGTATGGGAAAGACAGAGGGAGGGAGGGAGAGAAAGAGAGAGAGGGAGAGAGAGAGAAAGAGAGAGAGAAATTAAAGCATACAGTGCTGCTAATTTTAAAGAAACAGGAAGAGGTCATAAGCCAGGGAATGTGGCCAACTTTTAGAAACTAGAAAAGTCAACAAAATAAATCCTTCCCTAGAACATCTAGAAGGAGCACAGACTTGCTACATCTTGATGTTAACACTCCTTTTGGACTTCTGAGCTCCAGAATTGTAAGATAATCAATTTGGGTTAAGCCACCGAGTTTGTAGGAATTTGTTATAGCAACAGTAGGAAGCTAATACAGTTATACCTATAATTTAATAAGCAACTATTCCATAAAAGTACCTTATATACCTGAACTTTTGCCCCACATCCAGTGTTATGGGTGTTTAAGCTGTGCAACCACACAAGCTATGCTTAGGAAGGCCTTATACTTAACTTAATGCTCCACTGTTGCTGTACTGAAATTATTAATAATTATTTAACAAGGGGTCATCCTACATTTTCATTTTGCACTGGTCTCTACTAATTATGTAGCCAGATCTACCTAATCCTAACATTAATCTTGAAAAATAAAGGTTATACCCACATTACAAATGAATAAACTAGAAATCTCAGAGAAGGAATTACAAATGAATAAATTAGAAATCTCAGAGATGGAATATTACTCAAGTAGTAAATTTCTTGAGTCATGGGGTAAAGTCTGCTACTGGTAAGTCAGGACTGCTAAGGCATGGGCCCTAGTACAATCTTATTCCTTATGAGCCTCAGTTTCTTCTTTTGAATAGTAATTATACTATCCTGATTGCAGAACTATCATGAGGAACAGAAATAATAAAGTGCTATGGTGTTAGTGGAAATACAAGATGAGATTGAAAAATATACTGAATGTTTAAATTTGTTAAAATGTATTACAGTAAAAGACATACTGCCATTAATCCCCTTCCAAATATTTACCCTTGCTTCAAACATACTTATCCTGTATTTCTTGCAATTTTCTGAAGAAGTCCTCATTTGTGAATGTCGTTAGTTGTACTGTCATGGCTGCCTTGATGTCCTGAATTGGTTCAAAAAGTTTATCTTTCAAGGTCATTTTGGATTTGAGGAAAAGCCAGAAGTCACAGCACCAGATCTGGTGAATAAGGTGGATGAAAATACACAGTAATGGAGGGGTGGAGAAAGAAAATATACAATAATGTTTCAATGAGCCTGCATTTCTTTTGGATAGCACTCAGCAGCAAAGTTGTTTGTATTTTTCATCATACCTTGTAAAGACACCAAAAGAGGACTTCCAGAACTGCTTCAGAGAGTGGCAGGAATTATGGGATGTGTGTTTGAAGTGGGGGGAACTATTGTGAGGAGGGGTAATGGTAATGTGTCTTTTACTGTAATAATTTTTAAAACATTTAAACACTAACTGTATATTTTAATCACTCCTTAAATTGTGCTACATGTAGCTGAGACTGCCCCTCCAATCATCTCATGGGAACCAAACTGCCCCTGAGTCATCAGGGTTTCTCCAGAGCTATGGAAACCAAAACTGAGATAATGACTGACTGGACCTCAGAGCATGACAGCACCCTGTAAAACTGCTCTCTGTTCTGTAAACGGGTCAGACTGATCTTCTTCATCAGAGTGTGCCCCCTTCTGATGTTAAACTGGACTCCTTTTCTCATTTTCTTTTACTCTCTTTTGTTAAGGGCCAGCTTGATCTTTGTCGCTCTTCAAGCTAAAGTTCCTTACCATTTACCATTACTTACCAATTAAAGCCTTTTCCTGCAAGTTCATGCTTTAGTTTTCATTCCCATTATCACTGAAACAAGGACTGGCAATTTGATGGAAAACACTGGACTTGAGGTACCTGGAGGATTCAAATGGAGATGTAGAGTAGGAAGTTAAGAGGTGTATATCTAAACTTCAGGACATAGCCTTTGCTGGACATAAATATTTGGAAGCTTCCAGCATTTATCATCATCACTGTCATGGCAATTGCCATGTCTCATTGCTGAGACAAAATACCCAACACCCAAGGATAAAGGGGAAAAAGTTTATTTATCTCACAATTTGTAGCACTTTCAGTCCATAAGTGGCTACCTCTAAGGCAGGGTGGCATGGCAGACAAGGATTGCAGAGGAAAAATAGTTCATGGTGGCAGAAGGTAATAAAGCAACCAAAGGAAGACCACAGATATCTCTATCCCTTATATCTTATCCTGGCTACTTAAGGTGGGTAGCACTTGCACTCTTAATCCTAGTGCCCTTGATCCTAGCATTGCACCATGAATTAATCCTAGCATCACACATTCTGAATCTAGCCACCTCTGAAAAAGCTCCATGTATGACTAAATGAGGCTTTGGGGAATTCTAGACATAAACCATAACATTTTGCCCCTGGCCCCTCCAAAGATTCATGTACATTCCTTTCCACAAAAAGTATTTAGTCCACCTCTAAGAGTTGTCAAAGTCCTAATAGTTTGGGCATTGCTCAAAAGTCCAAGTTCCAAGTCTCCTCTGAGATTTAAGGTAAACTTTTAGCTGTGAGCCCCTGTACAAATGAAAAGAAAGGTAAATACTTCTAATGTAAAATGGCAGAAGATAAACATTATCATTCCAAAAGGTACAAAGGTGGGGGGCTACAAAAGAATGGGATCAAAGCAAGTCTAAAATCCAGCAAGGCAAACATTAAGCCCTGCAGTTCCATATGCAGTACCCAAGGCAGTCTGTGGCAAGATGTAAACTCTAAAGGGCTTGGGTGGGTCCATCCCTATGGCTTTTCTGGTGGTTGTACCTCCCACAGCTCCTGCCTTGAGCTGGTTCTGATCCCTTCTTGCAGCTTTCTTCAGACAGTTCCCACTCCTGGCTTCTCTAAACCTCTGAGGTCTCCACCACACCTTCAGTTTCACACTCACAACTTCACACACTGCCTTCTCAGGGGTACACTGCCTTCTTCTGAAATCTGGGTAGAAGCCTTCCTGACCCTACAACTCTTGTATTCTGTGTAAACCTAAAACCAGCACCTCAGGGATGATGCCAAGGTCTGCTGCAAGCTGGAGCAGTAGCCAGGCTTTCCTTTCTCTTGGCTGTAGGGGTTGTGAGCCTATGAACTAAATCCAAAAGAACAACTTCTCTAGGCCCCTGCCATTCTTGAACATGGTGCTCTGGGGATGTCTTCTCAAGAAAAGTCTTTGTCTTTTGCAATATTGAGGCATCAAAGGCTGGAGTGCTCCTGTTTTGTGTGATGCTCTCAGGTCATCTTTTCTATTCTGTTCCGTATCAGCAATCAATATCTCTGCTCTATCTTTGCAGCCCACAGCTTTACTGGTGCTTTCTGGTGAAACTCACAATGTTTTAAATCATTCTGCTGGGTTCTTTACTCTTCATTCTCAACATAGTTCTTTACTGGAGCTTCCTTTATGGTAAAACTCATAATGTTTTAAATCATTCTTCTGGGCTTTATGCTCTTGTTTCTCAACACAGATCTGGTGAAAAGCCCCCAACAGCAGCCATGTCACAACCTCAACAGTAGACTGCCTTTAAATTTCTTCTGCAAGATTAATTACTCCACCACCCTTAGTCTCAAGCAAAGTCTCTGGACACAAGCAAAATGCAGACAAACTTTCTGCCAAGATATAACATGTATTATCTGGAATCCAATAATCAGTGTAGTCCTTCTTTCCAGCAGAAATCACCTGAGTCTGGTCTTTTCCAACAGAATTTTTATCAGCCTTCTGATCTTCTGAACTCTGACTAGAATCTCTCATCAAGTATAACCTAAGGCACTTCAGCTCTACTTGTTTAGCTGGTGTATCTAAATCTTTTTAAACTCTTCCCACAAGCCAGTCCCAAAGGCTCCTGAACCACCTGGTCAGGTATAGTCACAACAATGACCCCAGTTCTTGTACCAAATTCTTAGTTATTATTCTTTCATTGATGTGACAAAATACCCAACATCTAGTGTTAAAAGAAGAAAGGTTTATTTAGCTCACAGTGTGTAGAGGTGTCCATCTATAATCAGCTGGCTCCAAAGCAGGGTGGGCACAGCAAATAAGCATTGCTGAGGAGAAACAGTTCATGTGGACCAAAGGTAGCAAAATAAGCAAGGGACAGCCACAGCAATTTCTATCCCTAAGATCTTATCCAGGCTATGTAGGATGGGTAGCAGTCACAGTCTTACTCTTAGTGGCCTTGATCCTAGCATTGCACATAAGCTAATCCCAGTATCACACACTCTGGATCCAGCCGCCTCTGAAAAAGCCCCACCTATGACTGCATGAGACTTTTGGGGAACATCTAGACACAAACCACAACAAAGAGGCAGGCAAAGGAAAAGAAACTCTCAAAGGAGATTAAGAACAAATGGCCAGGAAGGGAGAAGCAGAAAAATGAAGGAAGGAAGAGTTTGGAAAATGCTATGTCTGGATTAGTTCAGCATTCTGACATGTAGTATTTTCATTCTGTCCCTGACGCTGCAAACCAGCCTAATTGAGTCTATGTTCCCCAAACCCAAGAGATTCCTTTAAGTTACATAGTCTACCCTTTGCTTTGGCCCTTGGATGCTCCCACAGTGCCTGGCCTCTTTCGATCAATGACTCAGATAGCCTGAATACCTGATGGCCATTAAACATATTGTGAGTTTACCAACAGTGAAAGAAACATAAGCCCAAACACCCTAAGTTTCCATTATATACCTGTATTAGTACACAGGAATAAAACAGCTTCTATGGGCGGAAACTATGGGGAGGTAGGCAGACACTAACTTGGCCGTTGCACTTTATACAGTCACACTTTCTGCAGAACAGCTATAGAAGCAACGGAAGAGCTGTGTGTGCCCTTTGTTCCACACTGGAGCACGCCTCATGGAAATGAGCTAAAGGAAAAAGAGGAACAGATTCCAGTCTCACTACTTATAACAGCACGAAACTGGAAACAATCCAAATTCTCAGCTTTAAAGTAGTACTTAAACAATGGCACCTAACTGATGTGGAATGCTTTGAAACAATTAAAAGTAACAAGCCTGTGGATATGGAAATGCATCTTTGAAAAACAAATGTGAACTGAAAAAAGCAAAGCACACCAAGTGCCAGCAAGGGTATGGAAAAACTGGAGTCCACAGGTATCTGCTGGTTGAAAGGTAAAATGGTGCAGCCGCTTTGGAAAACAATCTGGTAGTTCCTCAGAAAGCTAAATGTAGCATTATTATTTGGCCTAGTAATGTCTCTCTTAGGTATACACTCAAGATACATCAAAACCTATGTCCACACAAAATTCAAACACAAATATTCATAGCACCATTACTCATAATGAACAAAAAAGGTGGAAACAGAGCAAATGTCCATTATCTGATGAATAGAGAGACAAAAGGCAGTAATGGCCACACCGGGGAATATTGTTTGGCCATACTCTTGCATGCTTCAAGATGGACAAATCTTGAAAACATGTAAGAGAGCAGTCACATGAAAACATATATGATATCATTTATATGAAATGTCCAGAATGGGCAAATATTTAGGGACAGAAAGTAGATCAGTGATTGCTTATGGCTTGAGGGTGGGCAAGTAGGAGTGGGAAGATTAAAGGGCAAGAGCTAAAAATATATGATTTCTTTTTAAGTGACATTGGTGTTTTAAAATTGATTGTAATGGTTGCATAACTTTGTGGATATACTAAAAATCACTGAATTGTATTCTTCAAATGAGTAGATTGTATGGTGTGCAGTTATATCCCAATAAATTATTATTAAAATTTTTAAAAATCATTGAGCTGCACATTTATAATTGGTGAATTTTAAGAAATATATATATTTATATTCACTTAATAAGGCTGTTTTTTTAAAAAAAGCACAAACTGGTTGCTGTTTTGAAGGTACTTGTAGTTTTGTAAAATAACAAAGGCTTGAGAAAACTGGGAGTCAGTTGAAGTATAACAGAAAGACACAGATTTGGAGGCCAACAACCTGGTTCCATTCCTTATCTTGCTACTTACTATCTGAGCCTTATCTGAGCCTTTGTTCTTTCCTTTGTAAGACAGGGAGATCAGTTTCCACCCCATATGGTAACTTTGAAGAATAAATGGTTAGTGGGTCCCTTTTCTTGCCCTTTAGGTTTACTTAAGCATGAAGTTCAAACAATATGGCAATAGGAAGGCGTGGTGGCTCACGCCTGTAATCCCAGCTCTTGGGAGGTTGAGGCAGAAGGATTGCTTCAAGTTTGAGGCTCGCCTGGGCTACAAAGTCAGTTCAAGGCCAGTTTGAATGACATAGTAAGACCCTGACTCACAAAAAATGTGGCAATAAAAGAATGTGATAACCTATGTGAAAGGGATTTGAAAATGAAAGCTTCTGTAAAAGAATATGATAATCTGGACCTCAATTATATACTTATATCTTGAAAACAGCACCAGCAGAGCCTCAGCCTCAAAAAGAAAGGACGCTCCCTTTGCCTAAATGCCTGGAGAAATGGCTCTACAAATGGCTACATGAAAATTAGAAAAAGCTTTCCACATTCTGAAAATATATATGGGTATAACGGTAATGTGGGGTGTAATAAAGGAGTTAAGGTGTGTAATGTCAAGTTACTACTACAGCGTGTTCTGCTGCTCTAGCTTTCCTAGTACTGGGCCTGTCCCCAGGCGGGATGATGAGCCTAGCAGACACCAGAACTAAGCCACTATACAGGAAATTATTTTCTCCATATGCAGACAGGAGAGACATTCACCTTTTTTTTTTTTTTTTTGTTTTTTTGTTTTTTTTTGGTTTTTCTCCGGTACCGGGAACCGAACTCACGACCTTGCGCTTGCCAGGCAGGCGCTTTTGCCGCTGAGCTAAATCCCCAGCCCCCACCTTTCTTTACTACTCTTTTTTTTGTGTGTGGTGCTGGGGATCAAACCCACAGCCTTATGCATGCAAGGCAAGAGCTCTACCGCTGAGCCACACCACAAGCCCAGATATTCACCTTTCTTACAAGTAATGTTTGAAGGAAGAAGCCCTTTGAATTTTTTTTTTGTGTGTGTGTGTGTGTGTCTTTTTGAGACAAGGTCTCACTGTGCAGTTCAGGCTGGTCTTAAACTCACTTTGTAACCCAGGCTGGCCTCGAACTCACAATGATCCTCCTACTTCTGCCTCCAGAGTGCTGGGATTATAGGAGTGCTCCACCACACCCAGCCCTGCCCTTGGAATTTTTACAAAAAAGTTTCCTCTTCTCACTTCTGATCAGAATCAAGATCCTATACACCTAACAGAATGCCTGGCATGTGGGAAGAACTCAGTATATAGTTGCATAATGAATGAATGATTGGAATTTACCTAGAAGTCTAAGGCCAGAATAGAACAGGTTATTCATGAAAAGAAACTACTAAACTATACACCAGGAATCTCAGCAAGATCTAAACTCATGTACCACACAATTTAGTGTCTATTACAAGCCACACAGTATAATCACATCGGGACCTGCTCATTTAAAAAATCTCTTCAGCCTATAGCAAATTCCCCTCAGATATCATGCTTATTATTCTGAAGACATGGGGTTACTCCACCAGTGAGGAGTTACTCAACCTATCATATTTTCAAACATTGCAGAGAAAAAGATGTGAACACCACTGCTTAACAAATGTGTTGTCCTGAGCTTGGTAGAGAAGGGAGCCGGAGAAGGCTCCATCTGGGGAAATTGTTTCCACCTCATAAAGGCCAGAAAGGCAAACCTCCCTAAGGCAGGAGGTCTCCTTTGAAAATCATTCTGGTAGGATTAGGGAGCCTCCCTTCACTCCAGGAACCAGGTTCTCAGTCTGCCCAGGGAGACTGACTTTGAAGGAGAAGGCTTTGAAGGGGCCTCAGAGCTCAAAATAAACTTATCTACTCACTCAGAACCCAAAATTCTCACGTTTGTGGCACAACCTCTGAGTCCCTTCACCCCTGGAAGACATTTCCTTCTGGATATTTCCTCAGCCACTGTGTGAAACCCTGTAGGTCAAAGGGGGAAAAGATAAAGGGATCCTCTTCATCATCGGAGGGTGATCACCAGAGTTGCAAAGATCTGCTACAAACTAGTGGCAATGAGCCACGCCTGGTGTGGCGCACACTTGTAATCCCAGCACTTGGGAGGCTGAGGCAGGAGGATTACTGTAAATTCGAGGCCACTCTGGGGCACACAGTGAGTTTAAGGACAGCCTGAACTGCATAGGAGACCAGGTCTCAAAAAAACAAATAAAAAGCAATGATAGCACCGGCTACTGAACACTGACACTTGTAAACTTCTCTCAGTTAATCCTCACAGTGGTCATGGAAAGTTAGTGTTTTTTGATTCCTCTTTTATCACTGAGGAAATTGAAGCTCAGAGAGATTTTACAGTCAGTGAGTTAGCTATTATCTAAATCAAGGTCTAAGTATATGCTTACATCTAAAGTAGCTAAAAATAGCAGAAGCAGCAGTAAACTTTTACCAGTAGCACTCTACACTAGTGATTTGGGGGAGAGCAAAGGAAGAAAAACCTGGTTTGAACAATACCATAACTTGGAGGCTTTCACAGTGCTAATTTTAGGCCTTAATTGCAGTAGCATATGTGTTGTGGTTGGGGATTACAAGAAAGGACTGGGCAGGAAATACGAAGACCTAGATTCTGCTCAACAGTAAGATTAACAAGTACCGTGAGCGCCTCTGCTTCTAATGCTCTCGCTTTTTTCTTCCAGGGAGATCTAACTCCCCTATGAAAGCTTTCCTGGCAACCTACCTAATCCCTAGCACTATGCTCCCTCTGTACTTTACTGTATCTCAGTTACAGCTCCTCCGTATCATAATTAGTTTTAGTATTATAGTCTCCAACTGGCCACAGCCCCTTGAGGCTAGCACTTGTGGCTTAGACACTTTTGTGTATGTGTGATTTAGTCATTTTTGTACCCAGTGTCTTGATGAGTTCTGGTAGGCTCAAGTCAGTGTTGCTACTCAATAAATCCTGATCATCTCCCACACTGGGTTCTCTAACTCTCAACCAGTATCCCACTTTTCTCATGTCAAGTCAGTGGGACTTAGCTTGTTATTGGCTGCCCAGCAGTTGAGCCCTCTTCCTGTGTCTGGCGAAACTGCCATTTCCTGAGACCTGGCGGAGACAGAGTATGGCTTCCCCTTATGGAAGCTGGAAAAGCAGCCAGGAAAAGCTACTCCTGCATCCCTGGCAGCTGCAGCGCAAAAATATGACCTAATCTTGGCTCAACTGATATTTCTGCCCAAGCCCTTGACTTTGAAGTAAATAACCCGAGAAACTAGGACAGCTTAGAATTTATTCTGGTAGTAGCGCTGGGATCCACTGCCCACTGAGAACGGCAGGAGTGTTTTCACCAGGTTGTCTCTGTGGTGCAGTCTTACCTGTGACTCTCTTTTGGTTCCTGTACCTTTTCCAAGCTTGACTCTCTTGCTTTCCTATCATTTCTGAGATCTCCCTGATATTCCTCTAATAAATCCCTATTTTGATTGAAGTAGCGAGAATCAACTGCTATTATGTGCAGTCCAGGGCCCTGAATTCCATGGTTGGTGACTTCACAGTTCTTGGTCCTGGATCCTGGGAAACAAACACCAACAAGTAATTACTTCCTGCTCCAAACCCAGAGAGATGCATCACTATCTCCCAGGTTGCTGTACACTTAACTTCTCACATTCACTCTTTCATTTCATTCTCACAGCAGCTCTACTGACCGCATGTGGGCAGGTGGAAATGGCAAAACAATATTTTAATATGAGAAAAGTGAACCTCAAAGAGTCTAAATGACTTCCCTGAGTTCCCCAATCTAGTGACAGAACTATCTACATCTACTGATTTCCAGCCAAAGGCTTTTTATGACAAACTAACAGGGAAGGATAACTTGTAGTAACTTCAAAAAATTCATCCGTAAATATTCCTTAAGCATCCACTATGTTCCAGTCACTGGTTAAGATGACAGGTTATTCTACTCTGTCATCCATTTTTTGAAAAGTCCTCTAAGTATCAGTGGGAATATATTTTATCATATACTGTACATTGGAGAAGCAATATAATATTGCTGTTAAAACCTAAGTCAGATTGCTTGGGACCAAACCCTGGTTTCTCTGATGGCTGCTTACACAAGACATAAGTTGTCAGGGTCCCTCCTTAGTCATCCAGCCCTTACCTCCGCACCTTGAAGGCTGCTTACTGATAATACCTCCGAGCCTCTGCCTGAAGAGTGTGCTTGATCCTTACACAAGGGAAACTGGAAATGGCAGCGCTGATGTCCTGTCAATAGTCCTCGAACAGTAGCAAATGGAGATTTGGAGAGACATACCCCAGCTTTCTCACCTCCCGATGGGAATAATTTTGAGGCTGTCTCCAACAGGACTGAGCTCCAGTTACCCTCAGCGGTGATCTGCTTGATAGCACACACCTAATTGGCCCCTTCTCTTCTGCAGTTCGTATTTGTACTTTCTGACTGGGGTGTCCTAGGATATCCTGTAATTGAACTATTTACACTTGACAACTTTCCTCAGGCCTGCTCCTGGGAAAACCCAAACTAAGACATGACACCAAATGACTGAGAAAACCGCTCACATAATATCCTGTCAATGAAGATAACATTACCCATCTCATGGAGACAAATTCATGAAACTACTTAGTCTGACTCCTGACATGTAATCAGCACAGTGTCAGCCACTGCTGTGCGTGCAGCACTTCTGGTCTTCTAAGCACTCACACGCACTTTGTTTCACTTCTTGCTTTTCAGTCAGAGAAGCTTTCTCTCCAGCCACCCTACCAGACTTCCTGCTTCTCTCCATGCCGGATTCTGTTCTTTACTTGAGCACTGCTCTCCCATTGGCCCATCATCCAAATGACCTCTCTCCTTCACGCATTTGTGATCCAGCATGTGGTACCCTGCTTGCCTTGATAGACTTCTTTCTTCCCACATTTATCTCCTGCCTATTAAGTGTCCACTTAGGTTGACCCCTTCTAAATTCTCCTCCCTTCTTCTTCTGTCCAAAACACACACACACACACACACACACACACACACACACACACTACAAAGAGTGCATCTAGGGGCTGGGGATTTAGCTCAGCGGCACAGTGCCTGCCTGGCAAGTGAAAGGTCGTGAGTTCGATTCATAGTACCAGGAAAAAAAAAAAAAAAAAAGTGCATCTAACCAAGGTGTGCTTTCCTCTTCCACTGCATATTACCCAGAAGTGCAAATATCTGCTTTATACCTGCTTCCTTCGGTGTGCTGTGATTATGTGTTGACAGCAAAGACTATTTACTTCTGTATCTCTTGTTCATGCCTTAATGCCCATCTCAAAAATGCAGAATTATTTTTTAAATTTTTTTTATTTTAAAAATTAACTGACAAAACAATGAAGACAAAAAAATCAAAACAACAAAAATGACACACGATCTCAAGACAAAATGATAGAAATTTACAATCGTTGCTAAATTACATACTTTTATCTTCAACGAAATTGCTCAGTCCATTAGACATAAGAATGTAAGATTGAGCAAAGACAGTAACAAGTAAAAAACAATAAAAATAATTAAAAAAAAAAACATTGGAAATGATGCAGAGTTTCACCATACAAGATAGTAGGACTTCAACAATGGTTCTTATACTGCATATTGTTTTCAGATCAGTTACCAAATTCAAGCGTGTAAAATTGGTCAAGAAAAAAAAGAAAATTTTAAGCATTGACGCGGGAAGCCTCGGCGAGCTGCCTGGGGTCCCGGATCCTGCGGCCCCGCCCCTGCCGGCACCGCGGGAGCGGCCTTGGACCTGGGAAGCCTTGGTGAGCTATCTTTAAAATTAAATGAATTTTAAAAACACCTTTGAGGCAGGGATATTATCTCGTTTTTTCAGTTGAGGACAAAGGGACTCAAGCTTCACTGACGACTCCATTCAAGTTCATACAATTAATATGTGGTAGAACAGGGATTCAAAACTGATCGCCTGGGTTCAAGGTTGAACGTTTCTTCCACGGTATCACAGCTGTGAAGATTTTTGTGCTAAAGATTCCCATATATCCTTCCCATTTTTATGTCCAGGTCTCAGAACATAAACTCCACCTGCAGCTCCGGAAGAAAACTGGCTTTCCTTCAAAATGGCCCTGACCTCAGCCATGGTTGTTTGGATCAGTAGTTGACATCGGACCAAAGAGAAAGCCAGGTCAGGCCATCTCCCCTGAGAACCCACACACATAGGATTAGCAGATCCCAAGCTCTGGTCCTGCAAGGTGACAGAGAATGAGGCCAACTGCGACTGACATATAGGGGCTTCTGTTTTGGGTCATATGAACTTAGAAGCAAGAAGTGTGGGTCTACCGTGAGATGTACAGACAAGGCACCATAATGAAGGAGAAGAGGAAGGGGAAAAGAGAAAGGGAGGGG